GACCAAGATAGTGTGCATTTCTGAGTCCCTGTTTGGACATCCATCCATCTATTTTCTTCTGCTTGTCCTGGGCCAGGTCACAGGGGCAGCAGCCTAACCAGAGAAAACCCAGACCTCCCGCTCCTGGGCCACCTCCTCCAGCCTTTCCGGGGGAACACCAAGGCGTTCCCAGGCCAGCCAAAAGATAGATTCTCTTGAGTTTGTCCTGGGTCTTCCCCAGGGCCTCTTCTCGCTGGGACATGCCCAGAACACCCCACCCAGGAGGCATCATAGTGAGATGCCGAACCACCTCAATTGGCTCCTTTTGATGTGGAGGAGCAGCGGTTCTACTCTGAGGCCCTCCCAGATGGCCAAAACACCTGACCCTATCTCTAAAGGAGACAGGCCAGGTGTTTGCCAGCCACCCTTCAGGCAAAGCCGCTTATATCTGCGATCTTGTTCTTTCGGTCACTACCCAGTGCTCACGACCATAGGTAATGGTAAATTCAGAGCTTCAGTTTTACACTGGGTGTGATTGCTCTCTGAGTATTTCACCTGTGCAGCACGTTAAATATCTCGAGTGTCTCAGTGTTGTTTATTCACCTGACTGTTTGTTAACTGTAAATCTCTGACATTGTTCAAGGTTCAACATTGCAAGTGACCACTTCCCTAGATCCCTGATCATTTTACTAACATAAGTAAAGAGAAAAGCATCTAAATAGCCCAGCCTAATGGTTGTGTGCTAAATCAATGAATAAAAATGTCAACTGTAAACATAACTGGCCCATAGCTGTGGAAATTGACTTGAATTCTTTAGTTTGTGGAGATCAACAGTAATTTAAAAAGAGCTAAATTTGTCCTGAGCCATCATATAAAAGTTTATCCCGACCTGTCTCGAATAGAGAATGTGTGGCGTATTTGGAAGCACAAAATGCCACAATGAAGATCTCGTACTGTTGCCCACCTTAAGACTTGTTTGCAGGAAGAATGGTGCAAAATTACACCCGAAACACTTCACTTGGTGTCTTCATTGCCTAAATATTTAAGTGTTGTATTAATACTGTGTCCAGTTTTTCTACATCATTTTTTTTGGTTCATGCATTAGGTGTCCAACTTTGTTCAATTCTGTTTATTCAACAGTACAAAATAATCACTGAAAAATTATTTGTTGCTAGCTGTAATCAGTCTGCCTCTCCGTTTACTCTTTCAAACCAATCTTTTTTTTCAGCTTTCTGCAGTTTCTTCACCTGATTAAATGGCTATGAAAATATTCTCCTGAGTTTCTTTAAGTTGTGTCTGATTTCACAACAAAAAAGGAAACAGAAACAATATTGACAATGTAACCTATAAATAAAGAGCTGTGCCTCGCACTGGGTGTGATTGCTCTCTGAGTATTTCACCCGTGCAGCACGTTAAATATCTCGAGTGTCTCAGTGTTGTTTATTCACCTGACTGTTTGTTAACTGTAAATCTCTGACAATTAATTTGTCCTTCGAAGCCGTTAATGGACTGGTATTAATAATAATATTATGCTCCATTTCACACAGTATCCTTCCTCAAGTCCCGACGCCGTGACAAACCTGCGTTGAAGCCTCTGCAGAGCACCCTCCAGGAAGGGTTGAAAGTCCAGGGACGTTAAAATTCGGGTCCTGGCCAACGTCTTATACAGGCCCACGGCGGTGGGGCTTGAGGTGGGGCTTGAAGGAGGACGCCCGACAGACCGGCAACAGCGAAGCCAGGTGATTATTCCACATTTGACACACCTTGCGTAAAATTATCGGTGTTTAGGGTGACACTGTTCCAAGAAAACTCGTCCTACGGGGACTGGCAGTTTTAAGACTCGCTTGTAAGACGAAACTGGCAGTGTAATAGACACTCGTTTTGCAGCTAAAAAAGCTGGAAGTCTAAATTTACTAGAAGGTAAATAAGTGTACGGAAAGTGTCAACTAACATAGGATAGAAATTGCGCGAACTGTTTGAATAAATGTATTGAGAGAATGAGTGATTTTTAAAGGGACTTTAGGACACTACATCGTTCTCACTGTTTTTCCTGTGATAACTTACGTACTGGTGAGGAGAGAGAAAAAAGGTTGTGTTTCATCACATAAAACTGAGACCGCCCCTGACTATAGGACAGGGGTCGAAGGCCGTCTTAGTAACCTCTCTTGACTCTCGTGCCAGAGACAGTTTCACAGTTCTGTGAATAATGTAATAAACAAAATGGGTAATAACGAAACTAAACTCACGGCAGATAAACAGTGGTTAGACAGAAAATATCCCGGCGCCGGCCGAATAAGTGCAGGTAGGTGGAGAAATCCAAAGAAACTAAATTGTCCTGCGTGGGAGGGGAAATGCAGTCCCTCTGCAGTAACTATTTTAAGAGGAACCTTACAAACAGAACTAAACAATGAAATATAGTTGGCATGGTGATCATGCCCAGATTGTATACAATAAATAAAAGGAAATCATTCACATGAAAACCTTTTCTATAAAAAAGAGAGATGCATGAGGTAGATTAAGGCTGTGTCATTGTTCAGCCAAGGAAAGTGTGTGAAAAGGTAAATGTCTCCAGCTTGGGAAAGGGTGGAACTGCAGACCACCCGAAGCCCTTGATGGATACAAAATAAAATATAAAAATAAAAATAATAATAAATTACTTGGTTCGACATGCAACAGAGAGAATGAATGTGACTGAAGATTGGATCTGAGATGAGGCAAACAGAAGACCAGTCTAAAAAGTAGGCACAAACCTGTTCAGAGAAAAAACAATTTGTACAGATTGGATGAATTCTAAATTATCTGTTTGCTGAGTAAGATGATCCTAACTATTAAATTGGCTCAGTAGTAGTATAGTGATATACACTGATAAAATGTTGTAATATACTGTTGTTATTATATGGAAAGAAAAAGATGATAATATTAATAAAAATATAATATTAATGACAATAAGTATCCTTGTAATACTTGTGGATCACAGTGACACATAGTGATTAGGCGTATGATTTACAAATGCCAAGTTTTAAAGCTGTGAGCTATGAGCAATGCAAAGTTTAAAAAAAAAATATATATAAGCAAAACCCTAACTTCAAAGTTTGAAATATGTAAGATGTGTGAATTCTTTAAAAAACTAGAAGGTATCTAAAAATGCCTCAACTGAACCTGAGCCTGCCAGGGCCAGAAGGCATGTATGCTAAGCTAATGTTAAATGTGGAACAAGGCCAAGCAGGCTGTCAGATAAATGTGTGCAGGGGACTTGGTGAGCCCCACTATTATTGGACCTTGGATCTGCCTCCACCACTCCACCATTTAGCTAGCAGGTACTTACCAGCCTCATCAATACAGCAGCCATACACTGAGTATCACAACACGCTGAGGTTTAAACTGAGCCTGGGCTTTGACCCACCATATGACAAACAGATACAGAAGCAGAAACTAACATTACAGCATCTGTATGTTACAAAAAGCGGAAATGCAGTCTGCATGCAGTAGGAAGCAAAGACAGGGATCAGGCCAGTAATTGCAGATATGGAAAAAGCAGGCATCCTAGTGAAGACAACAAAAGCAACCTGTAATACTCCGATTTTCCCAGTGAAAAAAGCAGACACAGAAAAATATCGTCTAGTTCATGATCTTAGAGCAATAAACGAGGTAACAGAACAAATTCTACCTGTGGTAGCAAATCCACACACAACTTTAAATCAAGTGACACCAAAAGAACAATGGTTCTCAGTTATAGATCTTTCAAACGCGTTTTTCTCTGTGCCATTACACCCAGATTCACAAAACCTGTTCGGATTCACTTTTGATAATGAAAAGTACACCTACACCAGACTGCCGCAGGGTTTTCAGAACAGCCCCACCCTGTATGCAGAGGCATTAAAGAAATCTATGTCATTATGCACGCTCCCTGCCACAGGTCAGTTTTTTCTATACGTTGATGATATTCTCGTTACAGGAGACACGCAACACTTAACAGAGCAGGGTCATAAAGTCTCACAACACAAGTTACAGTTGTGGGGCAAAGAGGTCACGTACCTCAGACATAAGCTTACAGGAGAAGGCAGAACACTGTTAGACAGCAGAAAACTAGCAGTGTAGAATGCCCCAAAACCACTCACAAAACAACAAATGATGAGTTATTTAGGTCTCTGCAATTTTTGCAGGTGCTGGATACCTGAATATGCTCTGTTAGCTGAACCATTGCAAAACTTAGTTTATGGAAAAAATCTAGCACTGAAAGATAAAATAGAATGGACACCACAAGCTGGTTTCGTTAACATCTTTGTAAGACGGTTCAGCGTTCAAAAATAGTCTCGGGCGAAACTGTGTAGGTTACGCTGTCACCACAGTAGACACAGTTTTAGAAGCAAAAGCCCTTACTTCCTCTTTTTCAGCACAGAGTGCAGAACTAACGGCTATCATACGTGCATGCTGCGCAAAGATCAAGATATATATATTCACACTGACAGTCAATATGCGTTGCACACCAAAAAAGATAATTCAGAAATTACTGAAGGCAATAACTTCGCAGACCAAGCCGCGAAGAAGGCCGCACAGCAACCAATACAAATCAGCTGTGAAGTTTCAGACATTAAAGTCTGAAACTTCACAGCTGATACCACTTGATGTACTTAAAGAGGAACAGAAAGCCGCACCTATTGCAGAGCAAAAGAAATGGCTAACGTGTGGAGCAGAACTACACAATGACTTACTGACCTGTAATGGCAAACCAGTATTACCAAAATCCCTACACAAAACAGCAGCATTAGTGACACACGGATTAACACGTGTGTCGACAGGGGGAATGTCAGATATCCTCCCTAAGCACTTCACGGGAGACCTTTTTTCCACTGCCTCTCACTAGTGAGCCTATTAATAAGTCTATAAGAGAAACCACCCTAGCAGAGTGGATGACTAAGCTGTTTGAGAACCAACTGCCGAGTAATATCTCTCCAGTATCTTGCAGGTTGCAACCAGGTGATTGGATCCTGATTAAAGTGCTCCAGAGGAAAAATTGGAGTTCACCGAGGTGGGAAGGCCCGTACCAGGTCCTGCTCACAACACCAACCGCCTGCAAAATAGCAGAAAGACCATCTTGGATCCACCAAAGCCACTGCAAAAAAGTGAGTGACAACACAAGCATAGACGCCGGTTCCCCCGACTCCTAGGTGTTCTCCTGGTGGAGGAAAGGGTTGTTTGGGTATATCCCGCCCTTTTGTCTTCTCGCCAGTGGTCTACTCACCTGGAGCCCGGGTGTGCCTGGTCATCATGAAGAAACTTGTCCTCATAGTGGCTGGATACTCACCTGGAAAGACGAGGACCCACAGCATCGCCTGCAAAAGAAATGGTCATATGACAACTTACACCTAAAGGATATGGACAAAGAGCACAACCACCCCTGGCTGAACAATGCCGGGTACCGGTACGTCTACAACCGAGTACATACAGAAGACAACCACACTGGCTGCTACGTCTGTTCTCACCTCCCAACAACAGCAATGCAAGCCACCCTATATGGAAAATCACCCAGCCTTTCCGAAGCCCTATGTATATTCTACAAAGCCACCAGCAGAACATGTTCCCCCGAAGACATCTTCTTCTTCAAGGTTGAGTTAAAGAGACAAGTCACAAAACCCGACCTGCCACGGTGTAATGGAACACTGATCAACTATACAACTAATGAGGTAGTGTTCTGTACACCAGAGGTCTCAGACTGGAATTACAGCTGTGATGACGATACTGGGTACACCTGAATGCAACCAATGACAAGGGAAAATCTTTCAATGTCAGGAGGGAACCAGGAATACAACATCCAATGTGTTTCACCTTCGCATACGGCAACAGAAAGCTGGGAATGAACCACAACTGCTCCCAGACTTTCCGAATGCCGCAGGACAGAAAGGCACGGATAAGCTTCCTGAATGGCACATATTGGGTGCAGGGTACAGCATGGGCATGTGGCTCAAAGACATACTTCACCATCCCACCCAACAGCACCGGACTCTGCGCCCCAATTTTAGTGTCAGACCACACATTCAGAGTATTCCATCAGGACCAACCAAGACGCAGGCGGAGCACTGATGACGTGCAACCGCATGACCCAATCTGGGGCAGTGATGTACCAGCGGAGTTCAAGTTGTGGACCACCAGACAGAAGGTCCTACACTAACTGTTCCCATGGATCGGGAATGGAAAAAACATGCTAAGAATTGAGACTCTTGACTACCAATTTGGACTTTTCCTGAACAGCTCAACAAGGATAAACAAGGCTCAGAATGGGGAAATCGACGCGATCAGAATAGTGGTTATGCAACACAGAGTCGCCCTGGACATGATTCTCGCTGAGAGAGGGGGCCTCTGTGTCTTATTCAACACCACTTGTTGCACCTAAATCCCGGACAACGTGCACTCTTTGACCATGACCACCGCCCTAGACAAGTTACGACAACTGAGTAATGCAGAGCAGCAAGACTATGTCACGAACACAGAGGACTGGCTGACCTGGCTGCTGAGCGGCAGCTGGAAGACCCTCGTGATCAAAGGACTTGTCTTGATAGGAGTTCTTCTTTTATTGCTTTGCATGTTCTCAACTTGCATTCTACCCTGTATCAGATCAATGATTGACAAAATGGTACAGGCCACAGTGATCACCTATGTTGGACTGCCACAAGAAGATGAACTGGACGAAGAGGATTTAGTATAGGAAAACACATACACATACTGAATGATGCTACAATTGAAAATGTTATAAGCAAGTGATTGTTGGCTGATAATAAAGTATGATTAAGTGTAAAATATTAACTTCAGGAGTGAAATATATTTACAACAGGAGGGAATGTTATAGAGTTTTTACTGTTTTTTATTTGATTATGCTTCAAATGTTATGTTCTGCTTATGTTCACATATTTCACCAGACACAATGTACCAACTCTGCAGAAACAGGAAGCTCACCCTGTGACATTATTAGCACACACACGAACTTCTTGAAACACACACACACACACAGCTTACACACTGACAGCATCAGGACCTGCATAACAGGAAATGTGACCATATTTACATATTGACAATGTAACCTATAAATAAAGAGCTGTGCCTCGCACTGGGTGTGATTGCTCTCTGAGTATTTCACCCGTGCAGCACATTAAATATCTCGAGTGTCTCAGTGTTGTTTATTCACCTGACTGTTTGTTAACTGTAAATCTCTGACATTGTTCAAGGTTCAACATTGCAAGTGACCACTTCCCTAGATCCCTGATCATTTTACTAACATAAGTAAAGAGAAAAGCATCTAAATAGCCCAGCCTAATGGTTGTGTGCTAAATCAATGAATTAAATGTCAACTGTAAACATAACTGGCCCATAGCTGTGGAAATTGACTTGAATTCTTTAGTTTGTGGAGATCAACAGTAATTTAAAAAGAGCTAAATTTGTCCTGAGCCATCGAGTAAAAGTTTATCCCGACCTGTCTCGAATAGAGAATGTGTGGCGTATTTGGAAGCACAAAATGCCACAATGAAAATCTCGTACTGTTGCCCACCTTAAGACTTGTTTGCAGGAAGAATGGCGCAAAATTACACCTGAAACACTTCACTTGGTCTTCATTGCCTAAATATTTAAGTGTTGTATTAATACTGTGTCCAGTTTTTCTACATCATTTTTTTGGTTCATGCATTAGGTGTCCAACTTTGTTCAATTCTGTTTATTCAACAGTACAAAATAATCACTGAAAAATTATTTGTTGCTAGCTGTAATCAGTCTGCCTCTCCGTTTACTCTTTCAAACCAATTTTTTCTTCAGCTTTCTGCAGTTTCTTCACCTGATTAAATGGCTATGAAAATATTCTCCTGAGTTTCTTTAAGTTGTGTCTGATTTCACAACAAAAAAGGAAACAGAAAACATGATGATGAGGAAGGCTTGAGTATAAAACAAGAAATACTTGTAGAACAGTCACTCAAGGTCCGTTGTGTTGTGTTCATCCTGTGTTTCCAGTCTTTAACTGCTATTTATGTTCATGCATTGGGCGTGTCCAACGTTGTTCAGACTTGTTTTACCAATTGTTTGAGCTCATACACGTGTTTTAAACGAGTCGTGTACACTTAACTTGATGCTTGGACTTACTGGGTATTTATGTATCAACATTTGTATATTTACTTCATCCTTCTCATATGAGAGTTTCATATTTTATTTGAACAAAATCAGTGGTTAATCAGTGGCTGTTGATCAATAGTCATGACAATTTGCATATTAATGATCAAGAAACTGACCTCACAGCCCATTGTTTAATCAGTGGGTTTGTTTCAGTCACTGTGCAAAGAATGAACAGAATGAACTTTTTGGGATTTACTCACCTGGATGACACCGAGACACTGATGGTTGTAGCAGTTTTTGATTTTCCATATAATATCAGCACCACACACTTTACTGATCCAGCACCTGGCATTCACTAGCTCTGGCCAAGAGCTTGTAAGTGCACATCAGCCACAGATCACAGGAATATTGAAATTTTACAACAAAAACATGCTACAAAACACATGTGGTCTGATATATGTGTTATAAAGATTCTTCTCAACTTTGTGACTGCAGTGCACCTGGTTTGCTCGTAAGTTGGAGCACAACCATCTAAAGTGTGCCAAAAGCTTTTGTGGCTGTCCTGTGACACTGTCCAGCCTCTCTTCAACACAGTTCTTGTAATCTTTCATTTCCTACAAAGTTTACAAAGGTTTCTGGTGTCTAAACCTCAGCTGTGGCAAAAGGGCTAACAGCAAATGGACTTGATCTCTCTGAACAATAATAATTATTACCTAAACTCCACTCCTCCAAGAGCACCACTATGGACCACTGAAAAATCACATACAATGTAAATTGCTATAAATGTCTGTTAAGTCAGTTTCATAATGAGAGCTCGTGCTACCCGGCTCCATTAGGTTTTGCATTCTAGATGCTTTTTTCCAACACTAACCAGCAGGGATGAGTAGCATAGTGAAATCTATGCGATTTTTAAGAATATAGTATCTTTATAATAGTTCCCTCTTATGTTCCAAAAGCCGTTACTTTAAAATAACACACAACAAAGAGAAAAGTAACTTTATTTTGAATGGACCAGAAACCAACAGTAAACAAATCCAAAGAGGAAAAAGCAGAAAGATTATGTTATCCTTTGGTAAATTGTCATGTAGAGACCTGTTATATAATAAATAATGATTTTTCAAATCATAGCAGTAGCCTTTATCCAAACCATTGAGGCAAGTTGAGCTATATAGTCTGATTATAGTGAAAATGTGTGATAAATAGTTTAATCATCAAACTACTTTAGTTTGTCGATTTACCTGTTTTTAAATCTCTGCAGTAACTAGGGATGGGTATCGTTTAGGTTTTATCCGATACCGGTTCCAAATCGGTACTTTTGAAACGGTGCCGGTGCTTAAACGGTGCTCGAACCGGTGCTTAAAGAATGGAGAACACAAACTTTGTCCAAAAACCTCCCATGTTCAGCTGTTTTGTTTGTTTTTTGTAAAAAGATAACAATGTTAGCCTTTTCTGCAGCTATGGGGCATATATGGCATCACTCTTGGCTGGAAACAGTGCTTAAACAATGGGAAAAAAACACAAACTTTGTCCAAAAACCTCTCATGTTCAGCTGTTTCCCACTTTTTCTTTGGTCATTTTAGCCTTTTTGTCCAGGGTGAAGGGAGTATCTGCCATCAAACAAGAAGACAGCCGCATGTAGCTATGATGATGTTTGCTAGTTCACCTTACATGCATTAATGTAATAACGTGGTTAGCCTACTCAACGTAAATTACACACGAACAACATTTAGCTACTCACGCAGAGAAGAACGGCTGCTGCCATCAATATCCTCATCATTTCTGCTACACTGGCAGGGCTAGGGGCCAGGACTCTATTCTTCGGGTTTTTGGGGGATGTTGCTCCGGGTCCGATAACTGGCAACCCACCCAACGTGCACAGTGTGAGGTCTCGCAGCAAGCTATCAAATACGGCGCATTTCTCGGCTTTTAAAAAAACCCGCTATGCGTCGCCAGGTGTTTCATCAGTTTCGAGGTGTTACCTCCTTTGACAGTATCACAGTATCAGCTTAAAGCACTTGTTGCAGGCTGCTGAGTTTGCATATTTTGCTGTGAAGTACAACCAGACTTTTGACCGCTTCGCCTTGGACATTTTTAATCTGTAGCTCTGCTCTAACTGAACGTACGTACCTGGCCCCGCCTACTATCCTGGGAAACGTAAAATGATTGGCTAGAAGTGTATCACAGCTCAGGAAAAAAAAAGCACCGAAATAAAGCACCGAAATGTGCGCTGCTTTTCGGTCTGGTTACTACCGTTTATGTCAGAACCGGTGCCATCATGGCACCGGACACCGGTACCCATCCCTAGCAGTAACACAAAAAACCTAATTTCTCAGTGTTTCCCATCTTCATTTCATGGAGTTGCTCTGTCTCGATCCTGTATATATAAAAGGACACAGACAAGTTCATTAGTACAACCAAAAGGTCAAAAGTGTAATGCTAACTCGAGGCTCTGACAGGATATGCAGGTTTAACTGCAGCTTTCTTCTTTATGTTCTCATCATATTGCTTGTAACATGGTAATGCCTCCCACTGCCATCAAACAGAACAAAGTGTTACCTCAGTTAGAAAGTCATTTTCGTGACACCAGCTTTGAAAGCAGAACTTAGCATCTCTCAGACTCGCTGAGTTCTTACAGTAAACTCTGAGGATCTTCTCAGCAAAGCACACTGGGAGAAGCTTGGACACCTGACAACAAGGACAGTAACATAAAAGCTGTTTTACAGAGACATCTACAGAAAGAACACACAGCTCATGCAAAGACATGCAGTAGTTCTGACCTGTTCTCTGGAAATCTTGAATGCTTCAGTAGGGTTAGCCTTAGTGTAGAAATATGTGGTATTGATGGGGTCCTTGTTTTTCATCCCATAGTCCAAAGTGACAACCTAAACGAGCAGTGTTCACATGTACATTATGACTCAGTCGAGGTTGGCAACACAATTTAGCTAAAAAAACAAAACAAAAGCCAAGATTTTAAGAATTAATTACTGAGTATAATTAGAATAAAAACTCACTATAATTTCAAAGTTGTCTTTTGGAATGACTTTAACCAGTTCATTTTCCAAGCTGTCCTTCATCTTCTGACAGATGGAGGAAAGAACATGTGCTGTCATTGTGTTATCATTGTTTTGCTGATCTCTTTTTATGATCACTTTTCACTCTTACTTTTATTTCCTCTTGGTCTTCTTTCTTGAGCTGAGAAAGGGAGAGAAGAGTCACATCATCTCTCTTTTTTAGCGCACTCACACACCACAAATATTGTAATCAACTTTATTTTTTACAGCAATAAAATAAAATGGAGGTTAAACTGAGCTAATAAGCTATTATGTAGGTGACTATGAATGACTCACTTAGGATTTAAATGGTTTCAAAATGGTATCAAGATCAGCTACGATGAATTCAGTTTAACTCTGTCTCAAATATTGAGAACATCGGGCAGTACAGTGGCGTGGTGATTAGCACTGTTCCCTCACACCAAGAAGGTCCTGAGTTCAACTTCGCATCTGGCCAGGACCTTTCTGTGTGGAGTTTAATGTTCTTTTGGAGGTTTTCTCCAGGTACTCCAGCTTCCTCCCACAGTCCAATGACATGTAAGTAGTGGGGTTAGGTTAAGTGGGGAATCTAAATTGCCCGCAGGTGGGTATGGTTGTCTGTCTCCCTGCATAAGCCCTGCGTCAGGCTGGCTCACTGCTTTTGGCTAGTTTTGCTTTTGGCAAGGGTCAGTGTCACTACTGGAAGACTGATGCAATACATGTTCCCTACAGAGGCTGTCCAAATCTTCCAGAATGGCACATTAATACAAGCCACTGCCAGATGTTCTTCTGTGTCTCCCAGTACAGTCTCAAGAGAATGGAGGAGAATCCAGGGCATTAACAGCAGTAACTCTAGGAGAGCAGGAAAGCGCCATAGAAGGTCCTGTCCAGAGCAGTATCTGCTCTTTTGCACCACGCATTTGCCATTAAATACCAGAAATGACAAGTCTACCACTGGAACTCTGCACTTTTCACAGATGAGAGCTGAACGCATAAGAAAGGCTCACATTGGACAGCTGTGAAAGGGTCTGGAGAAGCCATGGAAAATGTGATGCTGCCTGTAACATTGTTTAGCATGACCAGTTTGAGGTTTTATAAGTGATGGTCTGGGGAGCCATATCCATGGAGAGACACACAAACCTCTACAGGTTATGCAACAGATCTTGGGTTGAAGTCCCACGCTTACAGACCCTATGCTGGTGCATTGGGTCCTGGATTCCTCCTGGTGCATGACAATATCAGTCCTGATGTGGTGGGAGTATGCAGGCAGTTCCCGGAGGACAATTTCCATTTATTTTACGGCTAGATACTAGCCTGTACAGGCCTTTACACATCTACAGTAATCTCCTGCCTTTTTTCTAATGTAAATCTTACAGAAGCTTTTTAGTTCAAACTCTCAATGTACACCTGGTAGTCTGTTGGGATAGAGTTTGAATTATGTTCATACCATAAACGAACCTTCTCCAAAAGCCCCTTTTTATTAGTACCTAATTGGATCTACTCGCCACAGTTTTCAGGGTTTTCTATTAGGTCATAGTACCTTGTACCAGGTACTAAAACAGCGCCTGCTCAGTCAGAGTTCAAAGCGATCTGAGCAGGTACTAAAATGTGATGTGGTCAGACCTCATGCCACCAACTGACTGGTCAGTGGTGTCACTCAATGAGTCATGAGATCATCTGATGGGGCCACAGGGTCTTGGTGCAGTTGTTTTGGTCCACACCTGAAAACAATAAAAATAAACTAACAGATGCAGCAAAATGTGTCAAACTAACCACCATGTTAGCTGCTGCCCCAGCTGTGAAGAGGTGGGGAAGAGAAGAGCAGTGATGAGAATAACAGCATTTTTCAGTAACTAGTAATCTAACTCATTACTATTTCTACTGTTAGAATGCTGTTACCGTTACTAAAAAGAAAATGCTGCACGGACACATTACTATTTGTAAACACACAGACAGTTGAAGCTGTCTACAGCTTACCTGGAGCGATGGGGGCGAAACAATTGCACAAGTGCTGCTGATTGGCTGAGAAAGAAAACTAGTAAACCATGGTAACATGACCAATTTAAGATGACATAGCAACAAGATGTCATGTGAACCCAAGACAAGCCTCAGTGTCCATTTTTGTGTTTAAAGTGAGGTATTCAGACTATATACCAATTTTTAAATTGTGTTGACAAGAACACGTAAAACCAGAGCCATGATAAAAAATGTTCGCATTTTTTTTTTTCCTGAATGCTATTGTCAAATTTACATCTAAGGACAGCGCTAGCAAGCACTCTCTGCTTATGACCAAACAAATATAAAATAAAAAACACCCCTTTCCTATTGGTGGAAAAATGTACCATGTCAACCAATCAAAAAATCATATGGCAACATGGGGCATTTGTTGTTTAGGAAGAAGGGTAATTTTTTTAGAGTGACGGGAGCGAGAGAGAGTGAGAGTTTTGAGATGTGAGATTTGTGACATTTAATGTGTTTGGAGTGTGTAGTTAGTGTGTAGTTGCTAGTTTTTTTGTGTGTGTGTGTGTGTCAGAACAATGAGGCGACTGGTGAATGTCACAGTTGCAGCTAAAAAGTCACCAGAGACAGATTACAGTGTAAATGTTGTCTCTAGGTAGAAAATGGGATGAGTGATACACCTCGTGCAGTCAGGCCAGCAGGTATCAGGTTTGAGATGATGTCTTCTGTCTTATAGTGGACAAAAAATATTTTTTGGAGTGGCACAAATAATTTGTATGGCATCTTATTTGATGCAGAACACCAGATTGTTCTGTAAATAGTTTGAAATGGCCATAAAAGAATCCCATGGCTGAAAATAGTTGCAAATAACTATTTGCAATAACTGTCGTTTGTTTATAAATTTACAATTTATATTTACATTTCAAGTTATGATCTGTTAAACATGTTTGTGGTTGTTACAGTAAAAAATATAACCTTTTCTACTCAGATCTTATGTTTTTTGTCTGATTTTAGATCAATTATGGTAATTGTGTCAAAATGAAAAACTAACTGTAAATTCAGAAATATGAGGTTGTGCTGAAAAGAATGATACCAAATGACAGCAAAGCAAGATAAATAGTTTTTAAAGGTGATATGCAGAGGTAGGTGGGCCAAAAAAGCCTGGGCCAAGTTTTTGTCCCAGTCCATCCCTGATTGCACACCTTGGTTTCACCCATAAACTGGTACAGGTCTCGAGACATGATCCTCTGCAGAATCATCCTTGCTTCCTCCAGAGGAGAGGGAGTGAATTCATTTGAACAAGAACAAGGGTGGAGTATTCTTTCAATCATTTGATCTGCAGAGTAAACAGAAAAATAAAGTTAAGATCAGGTCAATTCAAGTAAACCAAAGAAACATTCACAACTTCATCAGTAATGTCATATAAAGAAAGACACACAAAAAATTGATTAACATTAATAAACAAAACAAAATAAGCAAGCAATAAAGCAAGCAAAGCATTAGTAACACTGCAGTATTAAATAAATAAATTTACAGTTTACTATAAACTAGTAGAGACGTATCCGTCATACTGAAGAATCAACCTGACATCATGGCAAATCCTGTAATAGTCACGCCAGTCAACAGTTTTTTTTTTTCCATGCTGTGCATCTCCAAAGTGTGAAAAAAAAAACCCACAAATGCAGAAGTTGCAGTAAGTTGCAATAAACTGCAGTAACAGCAGAGTGAGATTTTTTTTTTCAATTTCAAACCAACATGAAAATAATCATTGGTATTTTAAACAGATGTTGTTAATTCATTTACATACATATTAGCCACCTTCTTTAATAGTTTCTGAATAGAAAATGAAATATATATAAAATATATATGAAATATATAAAATAATATATATAAATACGGTATATAAAATATATGAAATATAAAATGAAATATGTAGAGCATGTTTTCCACTACCTGTCAGCTTTGTGTAGGCTTCCATGTCAGTTTTAGCTTTGGAGAGACAGAACGTTGTCCCTCCTGAACCTTTAGTCAGGATGTACTGATCTGCTTTCAAGAGGGCGTCTTTGATCCTGGATAAAAAAAAAAGACCCAGTATATGACTTTATGGGAACTCTGTAGATGAAATAAATGTTGTCTTACAATAGAATTACACAGTTGGTACTTACATAATTTCTACACTCTTGGTTACTCTGTGCTGGTAGGCTCTTCTGTGGAGAGAGTTCCTTGTGTGGAACATGTCATACAGGTTTGCCACTTCCTGTTGAGACCATCGCCTATAGTTTAGTCACAGCCAATCAGATAATGAATTACTCATTAAAAACTGATAAAAAGCAGGGATCCACACCTTGTCTCTAGAGCAAATGTGCTTCCTCCCATTCACATCACACACCCTGGCAAACATGATGAAGCGTTGATGGTCAAAGTTGTTCCGGATGCCCAGGTGGTGGCAGTCCCTGAGATAGGAGTGAGGAATTACATCAATTTAATTACATTTATTATGGTAAACCCTCCAAAACACCTTTAAGACTTGCTGTAGATAGAAATACTGAGTTTGTCATCAACACAAGTCCCACCTGGCAAAGTAGTCGAATTTGTCCACATCAATCCCATTTTGCTTGTTTGACACAATTTCATAGAGGAAGGATTTATTCTCATCTCGACCTTCATACGGCCACTGTGGAGACGACACCAGAATTGACGTTCGTGACAGCGATGATAACGAATGGTTTCATAATATTCAGACAGTAACTGGCCAGTACCTCAGCGTCATCAATCTTTAGAGGTTTAATCATCTCCTTGATAAATGTCAGGTCAGGTGGGAGTATCAGTCCATAACGCTCCATCTCTTGTGCCAGACTATTCGCCACCACCAGATGATCAAACATCTCTAAAGAGGCATCCGCATGCTGCAAGAGATACATTATTATTGTTTATATTAAGAACAGAATTCAAATGGTTGAAAGTTTAAAATGATCAGATACAACATACAGAATCAAATTTGAGCACATGACCATCTCTTAATAGAGGTAATTAGTGTCAGTATTCCAGTTTTAACCAGAGGTTCTCAACTTTTATGAGTCAGACATGATGAGCGTGGACATAACAGTGGTATGGCTTCTTCTAGCAGAAAATGATGTTTGTTTGTTTGTGCTGATAATTGTTAACACTGTGTTGTTTCTATCATTTAGTGCCATGTGTACTTTATTTCCTCAAGATGGCATCTGACAGTGTTTTCAAATATATTTGATTTTTGTGGGTGGCCATTATGTCGCGTCTCACAGTAGAGAAAAAAAATTTTTTTCACGTACCTTCCAGTCTTTATGTTCTGGGTCTGCTTCGGGGTTGAACATTCCATCAAAAAGATGGGAAAAAGGTCCATGTCCTTCATGGAGAAACAAATGTAAAAAAAATAAAATAATAATTAAAGCCTCCTGTTATAGTTCACACACACACACACACACACACATACGGGTCTATGTGGTATGGCGGGACTATACTACGTCAATCCGCCCGGTGGTGGTTTAAGTGGACTACCCTTTTGAAAGGACTTAGAGCCAAGGGAGCGAGGTTAAAGTGTTCGAAAAAATCTGAAAAAAATTTGGGTCACTTCAGACCTCATACACTCCCTATAGAAGTCTAGATACACTGATACACACCAACCAGACTCTATTGTGTTTTCTGGAGACATTGTCCACTTGACAACAATGTGTTTTATGAGGTCCAAAAAAAACAATATTGGGTCTTTAAAGGGACAATGATGTAATATGTAAATAGCTCATCATTACCATGAATACACATCTGACAGGACACAGGATTACTGGAACATCATTTTATTAGTGTTCTTGGATCTGAACATTAATTTTAACCATAAATAAAAAAAGAAATCTATGGACAAAAATGCCCACGCTTCCCACAGAAATATAAAAATATAGAAAACAGAAAAATTAAAAACATTTAAAATGAATTTTAATAGTTTAAAGGTAAATATTAAGGGGAGAAAATATGCATTTATAATTTTTTATTTTAAATATAACCCGTCAAAAAAAACCCTAAATAAATTAAATGTAAAAATTATGAAATACAAACTACTTCTGTATTTAACAAGAACTTTTTTTTCTTTAAACAGAACATCAGTGTTAACAACAATTGGCAATCTGACCAAGATGTAAAACCACAGCTCTCTAAACAGTTATTTTAGTTCATTTTTTTCTGCCTTTTTGCAGTTAATCCTCTGTTTCTTACAAAATCTCTTATGTTTTGAACTGTTCTTCCTGCCAACACCGGATCTTCTACCAATTTGCAATGACTGCATTCATTTTTGGTGGCTAGTTTCCCTTCGTTTATGTGGTCTTTCAAATGCCTCATCACTGCAGCAACCTCAGCCTTGGACCACATGTTTTTGGGAGCTCTTCGGGAATTGTGGGATTGAGCAGCATTTTTCTCTGGAAGATATATAAAGTAGTAGTAGTTAAAACAAACAAAAAACCAAACAAAAAAAACAAAAAACATTTGCTTGTTAAAAGAATGGATGCTACCCTGTACTAACTTCTGAAATGTGTTGCTACCATCAATATCAAAACGAGCTAAAATTCTGTTTGAAAATTTATCAAATTTCTAAAATGAGACAACATTTAGTGTTCCGCTGTGAATAAAAGACTGAATAAAAAGTTGAATAAAAGTCTCTTGATGCATGCTCAATCATCCAGGTAAGTAAATCCCAAAACGTTGATTCTGTTAATCTGGACGTAGCGTTTTCAGTGGGAGAAACATTTTGTCACTCATCCAAGTGACTTTTTGCCACCACTCTGCAGTTTGCCATATGTTGCAAAGTGATGAAACAATAATAAGCTTCGAGAACCAACTGCACCCCTTACCTTCAGAGGGAGCAGCAGTCTCACTTGCTGCAGGCATTGTGAGTAGTCCTTCATCTGCTGATTACACAATTTGATTAAGTTTTAATATTTGTAACAAACATTTTATCCACAGAAACCAAGCTAGTGGTAACTTACCACAATCTACAGTGTCTTGGGGCTGCGCTGTGTTTGTGGAATCAGCTACTGCATGTACAGGCTCACTGGTGCCACACGCCGACATTGTGAGTGCTGTGTCATCATCATCTGATTCACTCTCACTGTCCTTTGTTTCAGCATCACTTAATGCAATTTCATCTGAGAAATTGTGGGGGAAAAAAACCCAAAAAAACCAAACACATACAACCCCCCCAAAAACCTCACATTAACAACGAGATATGACAAAAAACAGAGCAAATACTGGAAATTATAGTACATAGTTTTACTATTTAAGGCCTGCTGCTGGGTTGTTGCCCTCCTATGGCCTACTCCACATCCAGGTAGCACCTCCATGCTCTGGACACTACACTAACAGACACAGCAAACCTTCTTGCCACAGCTCACATTGATGTGCTACGCTAGATGAGCTGCACTACCTGAGCCACTTGTGTGGGTTGTAGACTGTCTCATGCTACCACTAAAATGAAATCACCGCCAGCATTCAAAAGTGACCATAACATCAGCCAGAAAGAATAAGTGCTGAGAAGTGGTCTGTGGTCACCACCTGCAGAACCAGTCCTTTATTATGGTGAATTGACTATAATTTCCACTTGTTGTCTACTCTATTTGCAAAACAGCATGTGAAACTGGTTGTCAGTGTTACTTCCTAAGTGAACAGTTTGATATAACAGAAGTGTGACTGACTTGGAGTAACATCGCATCGTTTAAGTGTTCCCTTTATTATTTTGAGCAGTTTATGTTATGGAATGGGGAATTGAGGACAATCCCAAGTATACCATTTTTACAAGGTCCTGCACCAATGAGGTAATACTACATTTCTTTAATTAGACGTGACCACCCATTAATTAAAAAGGGAGCAGTGTTCATTTCAGCTAGTCTTAACTTGTTGAACTCCATTAATGCTTTTTACTATATAATGTACCTATTCACTAAATGTCTCACCTTTGCACTTATAGCCAAGCCACTTGAGGGAGGAAACCAGTCCCACACACTGAATGCACTTGTCCAAAGATGATATTGTTGTGCACACCAGACGATGATTGTGACACTGTTAGCAAAATATTGCAACATTTATTTGTTTTGGACAGTTGGAAAGGTGAGGTGTTTTCAATTCAGTTGCAGATATCAACTAATAAACTTCGTCCATGTAAATCACATCACACCCAGGTGACTGCCAAACACACACACACACACACAGCATCCATAAAGAATGATGATAGATTAAATTATTAGTTCATTAAGTGGTACACTGGATTATATTTACCCTTTCAGGCTCTGGATGTTTCAGGTCCAGATCATTGTTTGGAAAGCTGTTTGGTTGCGGCTTTAGGCAGCTCACAGTCTTCTGAATCTGGCTGGTCTCAGTCTTCGTGTGTAACAGATAGAGAATGAAGACAAAAGAACAGTAATCTGACAGTTACTAAAAATGCATCACTCAAGAGGATGAATAGACCATTTCACTATCGGCAAATAGCGTAAGGTACACATCGTGCATGAGAAACATTCATTAAAATCTGTCCTAGGTCAATGTTACCTCTTCAAAATCTTGCACTGAAGAAGAATGCATGGCTTCTGAGCCTTGCTGAGGCATTTCTTCATCAAGATCCTGCAACAAAGAAAAGATGGCACAAAGATTAGACCAAGTGCTCTTCTTGCAACTGTACTGGGCAGGCCTGTGCTTCTGTTTTTAATTTGCATGTGTGTGTGTGTGTGGGGGGGGGGGGGGCTTTCCACTCAAGAAATGTTTTCTTCTGAAAAAAAATACTGGCTACAATAATTAACAACTGATTCCTTTGCAATCATCCATCCTCTTCCACTTATCCTTATCAGAGATTGTGGGGTAGCAGTTTTGGGGCCTATACCAGCTACCATAGGGCAGTACAACCTGGACAGATCACCAGTCTAACATGGAAGGACAAGCATTTGCATTCACACCAAAGGGCAGTTTTGAATCACCAGTTAACCTAACCCCATAAGCTACATCTTTGGACTGTGGGAAGAAGCCAGAGTACACAGCCAGAGAGAGCCCATGCACTAAAGCAGTAAAAAGTGCCTAAAACAAGTTAAGAAGTTGTATAGTACTATCTATCTTAATGTTCAAGCCTGAGTTTCAAAAAATTTCAACATAGAAACAAAGCACATGCAGTCAGTTCTGCATGCTGTAGGTCAAACTGTCAAGACATACGAGAAGACCCCTCCTAAAACCAGAGTGATGTCACCATGAAGCAAACTTTGACGGAGTCCCCCAATAACAGTGTGGTCCTCCTAAGTCACATTTGGGTGGTTAACACACACACACACACACACTCAGATGTTATCCAGACTTGCACTTTGAAACAATGAAAAGGACCTACAAGCCACAGTCCATGTAAATCACATCACACCCAGGTGACTGCCAAACACAAACACACACACAGCATCCATAAAGAATGATGATAGATTAAATTATTAGTTCATTAAGTGGTACACTGGATTATATTTACCCTTTCAGGCTCTGGATGTTTCAGGTCCAGATCATTGTTTGGAAAGCTGTTTGGTTGCGGCTTTAGGCAGCTCACAGTCTTCTGAATCTGGCTGGTCTCAGTCTTCGTGTGTAGCAGATAGAGAATGAAGACAAAAGAACAGTAATCTGACAGTTACTAAAAATGCATCACTCAAGAGGATGAATAGACCATTTCACTATTGGCAAATAGCGTAAGGTACACATCGTGCATGAGAAACATTCATTAAAATCTGTCCTAGGTCAATGTTACCTCTTCAAAATCTTGCACTGAAGAAGAATGCATGGCTTCTGAGTCTTGCTGAGGCATTTCTTCATCAAGATCCTGCAACAAAGAAAAGATGGCACAAAGATTAGACCAAGTGCTCTCCTTGCAACTGTACTGGGCAGGCCTGTGCTTCTGTTTTTAATTTGCATGTGTGTGTGTGTGGGGGGGGGGGCTTTCCACTCAAGAAATGTTTTGTTCTGAAAAAAATACTGGCTACAATAGTTAACAACTGATTCCTTTGCAATCATCCATCCTCTTCCACTTATCCTTATCAGGATTGTGGGGTAGCAGTTTTGGGGCCTATACCAGCTACCATAGGGCAGTACAACCTGGACAGATCACCAGTCTAACATGGAAGGACAAGCATTTGCATTCACACCAAAGGGCAGTTTTGAATCACCAGTTAACCTAACCCCATAAGCTACATCTTTGGACTGTGGGAAGAAGCCAGAGTACACAGCGAGAGAGCCCATGCACTAAAGCAGTAAAAAGTGCCTAAAACAAGTTAAGTTGTATAGTACTATCTATCTTAATGTTCAAGCCTGAGTTTCAAACCACATAGAAACAAAGCACATGCAGTCAGTTCTGCATGCTGTAGGTCAAACTGTCAAGACATACGAGAAGACCCCTCCTAAAACCAGAGTGATGTCACCATGAAGCAAACTTTGACGGAGTCTCCCAATAACAGTGTGGTCCTCCTAAGTCACATTTGGGTGGTTAACACACACACACACACACTCAGATGTTATCCAGACTTGCACTTTGAAACAATGAAAAGGACCTACAAGCCACAGTCCATGTAAATCACATCACACCCAGGTGACTGCCAAACACACACACACACAGCATCCATAAAGAATGATGATAGATTAAATTATTAGTTCATTAAGTGGTACACTGGATTATATTTACCCTTTCAGGCTCTGGATGTTTCAGGTCCAGATCATTGTTTGGAAAGCTGTTTGGTTGCGGCTTTAGGCAGCTCACAGTCTTCTGAATCTGGCTGGTCTCAGTCTTCGTGTGTAACAGATAGAGAATGAAGACAAAAGAACAGTAATCTGACAGTTACTAAAAATGCATCACTCAAGAGGATGAATAGACCATTTCACTATCGGCAAATAGCGTAAGGTACACATCGTGCATGAGAAACATTCATTAAAATCTGTCCTAGGTCAATGTTACCTCTTCAAAATCTTGCACTGAAGAAGAATGCATGGCTTCTGAGCCTTGCTGAGGCATTTCTTCATCAAGATCCTGCAACAAAGAAAAGATGGCACAAAGATTAGACCAAGTGCTCTTCTTGCAACTGTACTGGGCAGGCCTGTGCTTCTGTTTTTAATTTGCATGTGTGTGTGTGTGTGTGTGTGTGGGGGTGGGGGGGGCTTTCCACTCAAGAAATGTTTTCTTCTGAAAAAAATACTGGCTACAATAATTAACAACTGATTCCTTTGCAATCATCCATCCTCTTCCACTTATCCTTATCAGGATTGTGGGGTAGCAGTTTTGGGGCCTATACCAGCTACCATAGGGCAGTACAACCTGGACAGATCACCAGTCTAACATGGAAGGACAAGCATTTGCATTCACACCAAAGGGCAGTTTTGAATCACCAGTTAACCTAACCCCATAAGCTACATCTTTGGACTGTGGGAAGAAGCCAGAGTACACAGCCAGAGAGAGCCCATGCACTAAAGCAGTAAAAAGTGCCACTATCTATCTTAATGTTCAAGCCTGAGTTTCAAAAAATTTCAACATAGAAACAAAGCACATGCAGTCAGCTCTGCATGCTGTAGGTCAAACTGTCAAGACATACGAGAAGACCCCTCCTAAAACCAGAGTGATGTCACCATGAAGCAAACTTTGACGGAGTCCCCCAATAACAGTGTGGTCCTCCTAAGTCACATTTGGGTGGTTAACACACACACACACACACACACACTCAGATGTTATCCAGACTTGCACTTTGAAACAATGAAAAGGACCTACAAGCCACGGTCCATGTAAATCACATCACACCCAGGTGACTGCCAAACACACACACACACAGCATCCATAAAGAATGATGATAGATTAAATTATTAGTTCATTAAGTGGTACACTGGATTATATTTACCCTTTCAGGCTCTGGATGTTTCAGGTCCAGATCATTGTTTGGAAAGCTGTTTGGTTGCGGCTTTAGGCAGCTCACAGTCTTCTGAATCTGGCTGGTCTCCGTCTTCGTGTGTAACAGATAGAAAATGAATATACAGTGCATTTTTGAAGAGGCTTTTGAAACATTAAATAAACTGTATGAGAAAGATAAGTTTCAAGCTATTGTCTTTAAAATATTCACTGAATTTAAGGCCCTATGATTAAGAGACAAATAGTCAGTGTGATTTCTTTATTTTTTAAGCCATTGCTAAAGGAGTAAAACAATCACCTGTAGCAGCAACGAACTGTCACTAGGGCCCATTTATCTTCGAGGGACAAAATTTAAAATGAATCTAACTAAAGAGGCTACACAGCAAAATCTCCAGTGTTAAATTAACACTAGAGAGTGTCTATATGGGTCCACACAACACTGTTGAGTGTTGAATTAACACTTTTGACAGTGTTATATGTTTAAAAGTAACCTAGTCAGTTTTGAAGATTAACAAAGACTAACACTGAGCAGTGCTGATTTTCTAACACTGGAATATTTCTAACATTTTGAGTTATTTTCCAGTGTTAGAAAATCAGCACTGCTCAGTGTTAGCCATTGTTAATCTTCAAAACTGACTAGGTTACTTTTAAACATATAACACTGTCAAAAGTGTTAATTTAACACTCAACAGTGTTGTATTTAACACTCAGAGGTGTGGACCCTTATAGACACTCTCCAGTGTTAATTTAACACTGGAGATTTTGCTGTGTAGAATCACATTAAACATCAATCACTGTTAAAATTTAGAAACCGAAAGCCATTTTTTATTTCTGCATACCTGCTGATATTTTTTTAGTGCTTTTAGAGGGCTTTGATGTGGCAGCCATCACAATTGCCTGTTTTCCATTAGTACCTACCCCTGTTTTTCCAGTAGGTTATAGTACCATGTAGTTTTTCAGTAACTACTGCACCAAGGTTCCAAGTGATCCAAAGTGATCAGAAAATTTGACATAGACTGAATGCCACCAGGTGGCTGGTCAATGGTGTCACTCGATAAGTTATGAGTGCGCCTCCTTCGTGAAAATCCAAGCCATCATTTTTGAAACTCTGAAATGTTTGAAATAGCGACCAAAATTAACAGCGTGATCCCTGAATTGAACACTAAAGTATAGACTGAGCAGCAGGCATTTTGTCACCTTGACGTCCATGCTTGCTGTGGCATTTATATCACTGGATGCTCGGCTGCATTGCTATAGTTACCCCAGGCACAGTAGGTGATACTCAATTTCAGTGAAAAACTAGATGCCCTAAGTCACGTTAAGCCAATTTGAGTAGGTACAAATGTAAAAATGGCTTAGGGTATGCAATTTATCAGTTCCAAAAAGTACAATTGTAGAAATACCTTGCATCTCCAGAGCCAATCCGAGTCACCATAATTATAGTCTATTTCTTCACCTGGACTTATGTCTCTGCTTGCAAATAAGTATAGATGGGGCTTTCCATTGATATTTAATATTTTCATCTTAGCACTTGGACTGATGTGGTTGTCGTTGACAAGTCTGCCTAATGACCCATCTTCTTGAGATGCATCCACACTGTGGGGTTAGGCAAAAAAGTATTAGCTTAACTAGTTAGGAAGCTTTTTTTTCATAAATCAAAAGCAATGTGTAATTTAATCTTAATCAAACTACACTGATATAATACGCACCACCAGAGTTTTCCATCAAACTTGAATTCAAACATGAACACCTTCAGGCTGTCATGATAAACTCTGTGTCTCCGCTCACATTCTTCTTTTGTTATGAGTTTACCTCTGTATTCCAAAAGAAAGTCTCCTTTTTGGAATGGAACAGTCGTGAAAATGCCCCGACCTGAATTGCAGAGGCATACCAAGTGAGTGACAAAAGACAGTGACAAACTCCAAATCTAATCCAAACTAAAGACCAACTTACCTTTGAAGGCATTTATGTAGTGGATATCAAGTCCCAGTTTGTCCCTTCCAGCAGAAACATGACAGACTGCATCCTCCCGTGGAGGAATGCGTCTCCTTCGCATGTTCTCCTGTACGATTGGCTGTATTACCAAAGCATATAAAGTATTACGATTATCGTCATCATTGTCATCATCATCAGTAGTAGCAGAACTAGCAGTAGTGTAGTTTACAGCATAAACACAGCTGACTTATTCATAGTGCTAATTTATGCCTTCTTTTAAAATGTTAAAGGCCTAGTACTCAAAATGGCGACATGTGACATTTCTGTAATGGCGACTGCAGAGAGTGATACAAGTACTGAGAAAGCTTAGGCATCAAAACTGTAAGAAGTTTTTTCTTCAGGCATATAAATAAATACACGACTAAATACACTTATACCCTTGCTTTTATTTTAGGGCTGTCAGCAGAATGGACAGACATTGGACAAACTGCCCGAAATTAGCTAACAGCGACATCAGGGATTTTGACTCAGACTGCGCTGGTTTAATTGTTAATCGCGTTAGTCGCGATGTCGGCATTAACACGTTTAAGCCACAATAATGCTTTAACACCGAGTAAATCCTAACACGGGTTAGCCCGCTTTATCGCGTTGACGCGGTTAGTCGTCAGCCCTATTTTATTTACTCAATGACAAACGCTGGGGCCGTTTTACTTCTTCAAAGACTCACTAACAGTCCATAAAGCATAAATTAAACCAGTTTAATATAGGCCTGTGCACCTATAATTTCATATAGTATTAAAGTCATGGTGCATTTTACATTAAAAAAGGCTTACCTTTGTGTTTTTAATCCGTCTTCGTATTGCCGTCGACATACACTTGTTAAAGGGCACGCGCGCGAAAGTTGTGGCGCCGTTTCCTGTAGGTACCGCCTATATATATAGCCTACCAATCACAATGACTTCCGGCCGTGTGTATTGAAAATGTGTATTAAATTGCAGTACCTACACACATCCACTCTAACTCGAAACGTCGCTGTGCAATACACTGGAATACACAAAAATCAGGTGAGGGGTATAGGTGGACTTTTAAGAAAATCAGAAAATCTTTTAATTATAGTTTAATAAATGAATTTACACTACAGTTTAAGCAAATACAGGTCAAAAGATAAATAATGACCTCATAAGAAGTAGAAAAAATTATTATTTAGACACTTAAAAATGCATTTACAAGTCATGTTTTAGGGGGACACATGAATACACAGCAAAAAGTCGAAATGTCCCCGGAGCCCAGGTACAGCGCAGGTCAAATGTCAATCCATACCACATAGACGCACTCTCACACACACACACACACACACACACACACACACACACACACACACACACACACACTGACCATTTGCCTTTTTCATTTTACCAAGCATGTTTTATTTTACACTGGCTAGTATTATAAACTTGATGCTATTAGAGTGAAAGACGTGCAGCACTTACCCAGGTCATGACAGAGACCTGCAGTTTGCACACAAAGGACGTCTCGTTCACTGATGTCGAGTTCTGGCTGTTTCAGCTTCAGAGTTTTTGCAAGTTCTCCTGCTAAGTGCCCCACCCTGTATCACCAAAAACCCCCCCCACACACACACACACACACACACACACACACACACACACACACACACACACACACACACACACACTTCATCATGCAGCACTGAAAGAAAAGCATTACTAGTGTATCTGACTGTAAACAAGTGGACATACCCTATTGAGTGTTCAAAGCGGTTGTGCGATGCTCCTGGAAAAACGAAATAACCGCCCCCAAGCTGCTTTATGTTTCGTAGTCTCTGAAACTGAGGTGTGTCTATGATCTTGACAAGTAGTGGATGTAACTCGATGTGGCCATGGATGGGATCATTAAACACCTGTGTGAAGAGAAATGAACAAAAAATAGACAAACTTGGAGGGTTTTGGAGGACTTGGTCTCAGATTTTCGTTCAGCACTCACTTCTTGGTGAGTAAACACTGTGCCTCATGCTAGGTCAAATTTTCTGTCACCTTGCCTTTGACCAAGGCACTGGCAGCTGGCCAGCCTACTGACGTTATGTCTAAGGTGAGTTAAATATAAAGATTGTATTTCCCTAAAAAGATCATCAAATGATATCTTACATAGACAAATATACACATGATACACATATATTATGAATTCACATTTTTATGAAGTGCTAATCACAACAGTAAGTTAGACCACACACCAAAGACCATATTATATAAGATACTTTCATGTTACGTCACCTTGTTTAAATCTTTGATGTTCAAGTGCTTCTCCATAGTGCTGTAAATGTTTAAATGACCAAAGATTACAGTTTTGCACAACATGCATTCTGGATATAAAAGGAAACAGTCAATGAATGTAATTGTAATTTTTCAATACTGGTCAAGTATGAGAACTTACCAGTTCTTCCAGTTTTTTATTGAAACTCTGACACTTCAGTTCTCTGAATTAAAGCACAGAACAAATAAACAACTTTTTAAGTTAAAAAATAAATCATAGAATCTATTTATAAACAACAAACAGTTTCTAATCTTCTGACTCATCAAAGTAGCTGCCTTTAACAGATATAACAGTTGAATGTGTTTGTGCCCTTCTTTCTACATCAGAAGCCAAATATTCTTCAGAAATGTCTTCCTAACTGTTGCATAAATGTGTGGCTCTTCTGGGTTTCTTTGCTTCCACTCTTCCGTCCAGTTCATTCCAAACCAGCTCGATGTGGTTTAAGTCTGGAGACTGTGCTGGCCACTCCATGTTGTCAAGCTTGCCTTCTTGTTCTTTTTTCCTAAGATAGATCTGTAATAGCCTGGACTCGTGTTTTGGGTCATTATCTTGCTGTAGGATGAACCCCTGACCAACTAGGTGCATACCAGAGGCCACTGCAGAATGCTATGGTAGCAATTTTGGTTCAGGATGCCTCTCACTCTGTAAAAGTCACCTGTATCCAAGAAAAACACCCAAACCATGCTTCCTCCTTAATGTTTGACATTTGATGCCACAAAGTAAGGAACCAACGTTTTACCTAATCAACAGTGAGCAAAAATCCTGCATGATGAACCAAAGATTTCACATTTTGATTCATCAGTCCATAACACCTTCCATTATTCAGCAGTCCATTGGTGGCATTTCATGGCCCAGGCAAACCTTTTTTTCATGTTTTGATGTCTAAGTAGACTTTTTTGCATTGATGTGTTTTTGTATTGATATAGACAAACCATGACAGAGACACACAACCATTAACTTCTTTATGAATTAGAAAAAAGAGATGTTAAATCTTCTGATATTATGATTTTTTTCCAAATACATTAGATTAGTGCTATCACTACAGGGGACAATGCCATCCATCCATCCATTCACTTCCGCTTATCCTTTACAGGGTCGCAGGAGCCTATCCCAGCTGTCATAGGGCGAGAGGCAGGGTACACCCTGGACAGGTTGCCAGTCTGTCGCAGGGCCAACACACAGGGACAGACAACCATTCGCACTCACATTCACGCCTAGTGACAATTTGGATTATCCAATTAACCTATCCCCACAAGCTGCATGTCTTTGGACGGTGGGAGGAAGTCGGAGTACCCGGAGGGAACCCACGCAAACACGGGGAGAACATGCAAACTCCACACAGAAAGACCCCGGCCTGATGGTGGAATTAAACTCAGGACCTTCTTGCTGTGCGGCAACAGTGCTAACCACCGTGCCACCGTGCTAACAATTCTGCAGCCTAATTTGGTCTTGAACTGCACGTTTACAAGGAAACAGGATTGTTAGGTATTTTAGTACCATGGGAGCATTTACCGGATATTGTTTTATAGTGACATTATGCAGGAAAACTCTGTCATTCAATAAGGCCCCTTTGTTTTAGTTATTTTTCTCTTTGACCCAAGAATTGATGTGTGAGAATCACAGGCTGGTACAAGGTTGAAATACCACAGAGATCACTCCCTCAGCTACATTAGTTTCTTAATCTTTTAGTAGACGCCTGTTGAGGCCAAATGGTTTGTTTCAGATTTCACTAATGAAAGAACTCTTTGTTTTGTGCCTTGAAAATATGTTGCTGAGATAATCACAATTGTAGCTGAACTACACAAAGGATGCTTCTTCACCCAAGGGCAGGAAGACGCTCCCTTATCTTGGTCTGTACTGGTTTAAACTGATAATCTGCTGTCTCATGAATTTTACCCTCTATATAAAGTTGAGTCAATTTGGGAAGACAACCTGAAGCAGTCTCTGTTTTCTTGTTCTCCCAAGCTGCTCCCGAGCTCGTACTAACACGCTGAATGGCATGCTTGAATATTACCTGAGAGTATATTTGACTGTGTTACAGACTAAGGGACATTCTCTGCTGATAGGTGAAGGTACATTCTCTGCTGATAGACGTCCACGCCTCGAAGGAAGTCGATCCACGGATTAGGCCTTGGAAACCGTTTCCTTCAAGGATGATGCTTTGCCTTCTTTTACTTTAAACGGACATCTCAGTTCAGTTCTATTCACTGACGCTGTGTGGACATTTTTAGATTTGGTAGAAACTCATTCACTGCAAAGTGTCCTGTACGTATTTCATCTACTGGCAAGCATAAGCCCCTTAATTAAAATGATACTTTTAATCATACAATACAATTATTTTTGTTATCCAAAGATTTTCACATTCAAATTTGACAAAAAAAGTAGAAACAAATATTAAAGAAGTTAATTTATTTGCTTTATTTTAAAAAATCGTTTTCGTGATTGAATTTTATGTCTGATTAATTTCTGAATTCTAAGACTGGTCCAGTGTGCAGGCCAAAATATGGGTATAAAAACATGAATTCAGTTCCATGACTTTGACTTAGTCTTAAACAAGTTTTTCACAGATTTAAAAACAATATTTTTGCTTTATTGTTGACAGCTGGTCTAATAAATGTGTTAAGCACTGCAACAGTATGACATGGATTCAGTCTAATATCCAAAACTATTAATAAAAACAACTTTGCACGATTCGGAGGTTTGATAAATTAATCTGGGAACACTCCTGTGAGTAAAGCTTTCATACAAACATGAAATCACTTAAAATACAAGAAAAGGTTATTTTATAAAGCCCACTGAGCCTGGACATAAACCCAAAGCTTAATGAGAGTTTTTAAAAAAAACAAACAAAACAAAACAGGTATACGAGATGAATAAACACCTTGAGAGAAAATATGAAAAAAAGTTCGACTTACCAAATCGGCTTATGAACTAAACAATAGTAGTAAAGCACTCCGAGATCTCCCGAGTGACGACGAAGATTTTTTTCCTTTCAATGTGGAAACGTTCACGTGATCTTTTTTTTTTTTTTGGCTTTGTTTTGCTGTAGTCTGTAATCGGGTGTCATTACACTAACTACAGTACTACTGATGCTGTGATAAAGCCCCGTGAATATGTCGAATTGCTTCGCCAAAACGCAGATCACACGAAGCCCCGTTCAACAGCTCATTTGGAAATACTGACATCTGCTGGTAATTCACTGTACAGCAACCCTGCTGTGATATATCAGTGAGTATGTGAACATAACCATGTATGAATTGAAGGATACCCGTATGAGGTCCCGTGTGTGTGTGTTTATGAAACTAGCCATCATCTCTGAGATTGATGATAGATGTTATCATTGGATGATATTATGTGAAATTATGTCAGGTGCTCACAAAACGCTCACAAAATTATTTTAGCGTTTTTAGTGGCTCCATAATGTTCTTGCAATCTCCTCGGAATCACCTCAGACCCAGATCGTGTGAAACACTTCTTGTAATTCTGTAATGTGTTTTCAACAGCTTGAATCACATAACGAGGAAGTTGTTTCAGAGAAAGGGGGCCTCGTTTGTCTTTGGTCAAATGACATTTTGAAGAACTACCTACACAGTTTAGGACGAAAGAAACTGTACACAACGGTCATCAAGAATGGGGTGCAAATGAAAGGAGATGTGAAACCCTAAAGAAACATAATTAATATTTCAGTGTTTCCTTTTTTGATCATCAAATTATGTTTTTAACATAGGATCTTCTTTTTTTTTTTTTTTTAAATGACATCAGAAACAGCAGTATGCGACATTACGTGATGGCAGAGCTTCAGTTCATCCTTTGTCATTTTTTTTTTTTTTTTTTTTTTTTTTTAAATAAATAGGACAGGGGGAATGAATGAGAGAGAGAGGGGGAGAGAAAGAAAGAAAACCAAAGGGGAGAAGAGACGGTGAGAAGGGGGGGGAAGAGAGAGAAAAAAAAAAAGAACTCCTGGGTCACCTGTATGGAGAAAAAAAAACAAACAAACAAAAAAAACAAACAGAGGAGACAGCAAACAACAAAGAGCAACATAATAATAGAGAAAACAAAGCACCATCACAATAAACTAGCTAGTCATAGATATCAATATTTACTAAATAATAAACGATATTGTGCAGCACGCAAGATAGATAGCGCACAGTGTGCTTTGAGCGCATGCATGTCTTAAAGCCAAGAAAGCTTTAGTCCGCGTCTGTGAATACCCATGTGTGCATACCTGTGTGGATCAGCATGCTTGCATTCCAAAGGTTTCTCCATGTAATGATCTGCTAGGGAGTGTGGGGGGGGCCACAGCCCCGTCCTCCAGGGTGTGAAGCGGGTATGGAGGAGATCAAAACTCCAGACATCCAGAGGCCCCCAGAACACAAGAGACCATGGAAGACCAACAGAGGGGCAGCCGCGCCACTGTTCCAGTAAGAGCTGAGGAGAGTCCCAGATGAGGGCTCGCCCAGCAGCCGCGGAGCAGAAGTCAGGGGGAGTTGCAGTGACGCGCCCGTGAGCTCCGCCGGCCCCCAGCTGTGCCTGAGTGACCGAGCCCCAGGCCGAGAGGCCGGGGGCACCCCACCTCCAAAGGGGCCCGAGCGAGCCCCAGGCCCCAGGCCCCGACAAGCGGCCGCCAAGGAGTGAGCCGGTGTGTACCCGGACGCCCACCCCCAGACACAAAGAACCACCAACACACCGACACCTGAGGGAGTCCGCCACCGGCAGGGGAAGTGGTGGTGGGTGGAGATAGGCCTCCAAACCTTGGAGGGCCTGAGGTGTCCCCAGAGAGGTGGCGTCTGATACCCAACCTGACATATAGACACAGACATACAGGCACACACAGACACAAACATCCATTCCCACCCTCATGCTCTCATATGCACTCACTCCACACTCAACCAACGTGGAGACAGACATAAAGAGACGCTGTACACACAATCACACTCCCCAAGCGTACTCTACAAACCGGGTCTAGGTACCCTTGCCCCTGGAGGGGGGAACTGCACCCAGACCCAGGTGGTGTTTCCCTTTTCCCTGCGGTGGGGAGAGGCAGACCACCCCGACTCCGCAGCAGCAGGGAGGCCCCACACTCCAGACCGCAGTCGGACGGCCAACTCCTCCTACTAGCCCTCCCGCTCCAGCAGGCCGCAGAGAATGGGGGTGGGAGAAAACT